TTCTGTCTAAAGTGGACCTAAATCCATCTTCAATTAGCCATAGAAACGTTGTCTTTACTTCCTTTCCTCCCAAGCCTGTCATCATTAGATTCACCTTCAGCCAGAGCCCGGAAAAGTTACCAGACTGAGTGTGGTGGATCAAACAATTGAATTTAGCTCTTTCCTGGAGATGATGTTGGGAGAGGGCTTATTATTGTGTCTGGCACAGTGGTAAGTCCTTCCTTCACAATAGACCTAATATGAAGTAAAATCTATTATTAAGCCATTCCTGTGCATGAAGAGAGAGGAAAGTAGCTGTGTCCTTGGGAAGACTCTTATTAGGTTATTATTATGATTACTATTTTTTGGTATGTCTCAATTATCTATAATAAGGGAATAACAATAAGTGGATCATGTGAAAGTGACACCTAGAAGGGAGGGTTTTTTCTGTTTTCTCCTCAAGGAAAATGTTCCAGAAAACTAGACACAAACTAGAGGTTCTAGTAATAATATTTAAAAGTTGTATATACAGTATTTTGTAAGGCTTCTATCAGAATAATGGACCATGTTTGTATGTGCAAAGATGGATTACAAATGGTAAGCAAAAATCCCTACAAATTTATATCCACACTGGCAATTACAAGTATAGTTCTGTGTGTCACTTTACAACAGAGAAATGTTTATTAAAGCAACGTTGAGAATCTGACAGGGGAGTTGGAATGACAAGTAGAAAGCTACAGATGTCTTCTGGAAATCAGTGACCACCAGTTGATTAATGGAAACAGTATATGTTAGGAGGGCTGGAATTGAAATGTAAGAATAACAGAAAGAAGGTGACGTGAAAGATACTGCCGAAGATGGAGTATCTGTCCTGTTGGAAATGTTCAGAAGATCTTCAGGAATAAACCTAAATTCCTTAGAAATGGAAAATTTTCCCAGAGTGCTTGCACATAATTGTTACAAAGAGTGTTATCTGTAAGTAGAAGCATACAGAAGCAAGTTTGGATAATCCTGGGTTTCTTAAAATGGGATTCTCTGTGTAAGACTTGTTAGCCCCTTTAATGAGCATATTCTGGGTGAGCAGGGGTGGAGGCAGCATATGGAGTGCATCCCCTCAGAGACCTGGCTGCCTGCACCCACACAGAGGTGTGGCTGTGGGTAACAGGAGCAGTGTTCCGCAGATCGCACTTCAGGAGACAGGGATGTTCCTGGAGGTGTCTGTGCATGTGAAGAGAGCACATGCAGCTTTCTGTGAGCAGGCAGGCTCGAGGTGAGGAGCTAAGTGTATCAGAGGACACCTTCCAGCCTGAAGGGTGATTATACATTGTTTCCAGTAACAATCATGAAGAGCAGTTTTGGCCATCTAAGGTTACTACCTTTGTTTTAATAGAAGTGTGCTCTATGGGGCAAGTCCCACGTGAGAAGCTGCATCTTACTTGGTTTCAATGTTGGGATACCAAATACACCATGTAGCCCTTAGCTGGTTTTAAGTAGGATGAAGCTCGTATTTGTATTTAGAAATAATCTCATGGAATTTTCCAGATTCTCCTCCCCCACTTACTCCTTAGCACCACCTTTAGAGTCAGAGTTGTCAGCAAACTAAAAGATGACCAGGTCCAATGGGCACTTTCTATCCTCAGTTTACAGGACCTCTCAACACCATCTGGCCTGGTAGTCCGTTGTTTTCCTTAGAAGCTCTGGCCTCTCTCAACTTCCATGATGTTGCACTCTCCTGAGTTTGGTCCTCCTTGGCTGCTACTTTGTAGGTTACTGTGCAGGTTCCTCCTTCTCTACTGATTTCTATATGTTTACGCGCACGGGCTCAATTTTGTGTCTTCTTTTTCTTCAGTATTCTCCAGGTGAACTTCGTTTAGTTTTGTGGCTTTCTCCATACCTTGTGCATGGTGACAGCTCCCAGATCTATTTGTGTACCCACAAACATGTACTCTCCATTTCCCTGCTGCCCTCTCCACATCCACACTTTCTCCCCTTTGTAATCTTTCCTACACAGCAGTCATCTTTCCTGATTATACCCATTTTAAAGCTACAGGTTTGTTTGTTTTGTTTTGTGTTTTTTAAATGAAATCCAAACTCCTTACCTGGCCTCACAGGGACTATCAAGTCAGGGCATTTTAGGTCTTCCTGCTCATCCTGTATAGCAGCCCTCTTGCTCACTGTGCTGTCCTCCCGGCCTGTTGTCAGTCCCTCACATACCCTGCTTTTACATGGAGCAGCTTCTCACGTATCCTTTGCATGGCTGACCCCTTTTTACTCTGTAGTTTTAGCTTTCATTTCTCGGGAAGCCCTTCACTCACTGCCCATAAGAGGTGTATGCTCCCCTTCCCCACGCTGTTCTCTCAGAATCCTAGTCAGTGTTTACTTGTTTTATTCGTTAATCTATCATCATGTAGCTTGTAGTAAAGTGTCCTGAAAAGTGTTTTTTGAATGAAATAAGAAAACATGAACTTGAATTCCAAGGTAAAAGTATCTCCAGATGTAGTTTATTTTTCTTTATTGTATTCCTTTATATTTATTTTGTTATATTCTGAATATAGTTAGTAAGCTCAGAATCACTTGTTTCATTTCAATATTGTTTCAGTATAATGCTCAGGTACAGAGATACATGATAAAAGAGAATGTAATAAATAGTATTGATCAGGGAAAAGGAGATGGTTCCAGTGCTGTGGAGCAGGTACTACAGTGAAGGTCTGTATGAGGTTCATCAGGAATACCATGTAGAGAACACCCACTTTTTTAATGTAGAGAATAGGCACTTTTTAAAACAGGTGGCTCTGAAGGGTCCTGGGTCTTCAAATACTGCCCTAGTCAGAAGACTCAAAGTAAGAGCAGGAAAGGTAGAAGGGCATTCATTACTGAGGCCCAGTATTGCATTGGGGAGAGATGTTGAGATAGCAGGTATCCTTTATTCCCCAAGTCTATTACATTCCTGAGTTACTGATAGCAAATTTTAAGAGGCCAGATGGCTATCTGATTCCTGAGTTTGCACAGGGAGATTTCGGGTATGGCTATAATAAAGGATACCCTTAGGAGACCCTGGGACCTGAAGTTAAAGATGTTACAGGACAGAACTCCAACAGAGAAGCATTCCTTGTGGTGTGGGCTGGACTTCAGAGACCACTGGAAGATGTTACACAGCCAGGTGCATGATGAGTGTGTCAGAACAATTATTCTGGTGACAGCTTAAAGGAGTGAGGGCTGTGGGTCAGGAGGCAGAGAAGCAAGTGTGAGGCTGAGCTACAAGGTGAGAAGTACTGAGGGAATGAATAGGTAAGTGAATAGGGGAAGGAACAGATTCAAGACTAAAACCACACTGAGATGATCTGATTATCTAGTAATCTAAGGTCCTGTGTAGGTAGAGGTACTGCTCAATAATTTAGAGGGAACTGGTAAATAGCACATCTGAAGAGGAAAGATGATCTTTGAAATTGCTGAGTTTGGGGCAACCGTAGGAGAAGTATTCTTAGTAACGGAGATCTGAGTGTGGAACTCGGCTGTAAAATGTAGGTTAAAAAGATTAGTCAGCCAGAACTACTGGTGTACTTGGCAATCAGCATAGGAGTATTTAGGACTCCGGGAAGAGGAGGCAGAGAAAGACAGCCAAGGATAGAGCCCTGGGGAACACAGGAATTTAAGGAAATGTTGTTGCTGGGCATGGTGGTACATGCCTGTGATCTCAGCACTTTGGGAGGCTGAGGTGGAAGGACTGAAAGTTCAAGGCCAGACTGGGCAATTTAGTGAAACTGTCTCAAAATATAAGAAGAGGGCTGGGGACTGGGGGCATGTAGTTCAGTATGAAGGCCATAGGTTCAGTCTCCAGTATTGTCCTTCACACCCCTCAAAGATTTTAAAGACAAGACTCTATAATCAGAGTTGTAGGAAGACAGAGCTGCCTTTTCAAGAGCTTGAAGCAGTCCTATGCTGGAGACCACTATGTTCATAATGGAAAAGTAATGTCCCTCCTTCAGAACCTAATTAGTTTTTGTAACTACAGACTATACGTCTAGCCCCAGCTAATTGTTTCGAAAATATTTCAGCTTAGTTGAAGGGAAGGGATAAATAACTCTGTGAATTAATATAAATTGATTCTCATCTCTGGACAAATCAATTTAGTATACCAGTGCTGGGAAGGGAGTACGTTTTCATGTAAATTAATGTGTATTTCTTTATTATATACCAGATAGTTAAACTGCAAAGTACTGTGTGTGTGTTTTTTTTTTTTTTGGTTTTTCTTTGGTACCGGGAACCGAACTCACGACCTTGTGCTTGCCAGGCAGGCGCTTTGCCGCTGAGCTAAATCCCCAGCCCTACTGTGTGTGTTTGATGTAACTTTATTGCCAGTAGACAGCATCCTGATGGTGGGATGTATCTTAAATACAATATGCTTTAATGTAATGTCTTGCAGTATGGTGCTGTAGTTAAAAGTACAGTGTGTCAGCCAGAGAAAGTCTATGTCCGTGGTGCAGTCTCTGTCTAGTGCGTATCTTCTGCTTTGATAGGGTAAGGATGTGGACACCCTCATGCTGACTATGCAAAAGATACTAACTTCTAAAAAGGAAAATGCTGACTTAACAAGATTAGTGAACCATGTAACTAAGCAAATAAGCTGTTCATACCAATCTCTCTCTCTGGAAAAACTTCATAGATTTGAAAAGCACAGGTTGTTTGGAGAATGTAGGACCTGAGGAAGCAGGTGGTGGTGTTCTGATGGTGGGGAGAACAGAATTCGCTTCTTTTTTATATTCAGGGTCCTATTCCGGGTGCTATACATGAGACTTAGCTGAGGGAGTTTGTGATACGTAGGCAGGGTATAGGGTCCAGAGGTGATTATGTCTGTCTGCATTAAAGGACTTGATAAACTCTGAAGAGTACAATGACAAGAACTGAAAACATTATTTTTTCTTTTGAGGGAATGTCTGAGGTATATATACGATGCCATGTTGGATGGAAATGGATTTTGAAGTGCACTGGAATGCTTTAATAATTTTTCTCTGAACCTGCAGGTTCTCCTGAAAAGAAAGTTGAACATTCATCCACAAAGCCCGAAGTGAATACTGCGCACCCTATCAGGAATGGTAAAGCAAGTCCAGTATCTAAAGATCAGCAGATTGGAAAGAAAATTTCTGAGAATTCTTCAGTACAGGGTCAAATGCGAAAGGGGAATGATGACTCTGAAAGTGATTTTGAATCAGACCCCCCTTCTCCTAAAAGCAGTGAAGAGGAAGAGCAAGAGGATGAAGAAATTCAGGGAGAACAAGATTTTAATGATGATGATACTGAACCGGAGAATCTGGGTCATAGGCCTCTCCTCATGGATTCAGAAGATGAGGAAGAAGAAAAACATAGCTCTGATTCTGAATATGAGCAGGCTAAAACTAAGTACGGTGACATGAACGCTGTCTACAGAGACACACTTGGCAGTGGACCAGTCCAAGACCCTCACACAGCACTATTCACTCCAGTTCATTTTCCTGCTGATGCTGGGGTGGACACTCCCAGACAGGAGTTTGATGTATTTGGCGCTGTCCCTTTCTTTGCAGTTCGCACTCAACAGTCCCAGCAAGGAGAGAATGAAAACCTCTCTCAACAGACGTTTCCTACCCTGGGACTAGAGCAAGAGGAGTTTGATGTATTCACAAAGGCGCCCTTTAGCAAGAAGGTGAATATACAGGATTGCCCTGTAGCAGGGCCCGAGGCACATTCTCTACCTGCTTGTCGGAAAAGTGTAGATATATTTGGCTCCACTCCCTTTCAGCCCTTTCCCACATCGGCAAGTAAAAGTGAAAGCAAAGAGGACCTTTTTGGGCTTGTGCCCTTTGAGGAAATAACTGGGAGTCAGCAGCAAAAAGTCAAACAGCGCAGCCTACAGAAACTGTCCTCTCGCCAAAGGCGCACAAAACAGGATATGTCCAAAAGTAACGGGAAGCGGCATCACGGCACGCCAACTAGCACAAAGAAGACTCTGAAGCCTGCCTACCGCACCCCAGAGAGGGCTCGCAGGCACAAGAAAGTGGGCCGCCGAGACTCTCAAAGCAGCAATGAATTTCTAACCATCTCAGACTCCAAGGAGAATATTAGCATGTCCCTGACTGATGGGAAAGACAGAGGCAATGTCCTACAATCCGAGGAGAGTCTGCTGGACCCCTTCGGTGCCAAGCCCTTCCATCCTGCAGACCTGCCGTGGCACCAGTCACATCAAAGCCTGAGCGATATCTGTGCTGATCACAATACCGTCCTGCCTGGGCGGCCAAGACAGAACTCACTGCATGGGTCATTCCACAGTGCAGACGCGTTGAAAATGGACGACTTTGGTGCCGTGCCCTTTACAGAACTTGTGGTGCACAGCATCACGCCACATCAGTCCCAACAGTCCCAACCGGCTGAATTAGACCCCTTTGGTGCTGCTCCATTTCCTTCTAAACAGTAGATACTTCTGATGGATTCTTGGCATTAACTCCTGTTTCAAAAGAGTATGAATAGTTTTATGAATTTTAAAGAAAATTTATTTGTATAGCTCTTTATATCATTCATTCTTACAACACATAGGTGATTTTTAAATAAACCAAATAGAAAAAGGAAGTCTCCCTACAGGGTAGTAACTGGATGCTTCTTCCAAGCAGGAGAAAAAGCTGAATTCTGAATTGAAAGCTCTCACAGTGGGTTTCTGGTGCTGACACTGGGACACAGAAACGCAAGGGGGCACTTGCAGTAAAAGCTCATGGCACCTTTTCGGGTGTGCAGTCACTGAAAAGGGACAGGAAAGCTGTATCGTCCATCTTGGTATTAAGAGTATCACTTACTGCATATCCAGGTTCATTCCAGATCCAGCATTTAAAACTAGGCTGATTTGTACATACGTTACATTTGTGAGTTTTCACACAGTCAAAAATCTAACTCATAAACAACTAGGAAGATGCTGTTTGGACAGTGTAGGCATCAGTTCATAACACCTTTCTCTACAAAGCAGAGCCAGAAGTAACTATTGTGCCTAAAACGCTGTTGCATTTTAAAAACAAGTGCCATTAATATGGAATATCTAATGATAATTATGTGAAACAATGTATATGTTAATTAGCTTAATTTTGCCCTTCTACAATGTATACATATTTTAAAATACGTTGTACATGATATATAGTTTTGTCAATTAAGAAATTAATTTAAAAATAGGGAATATCTAATAGAAGCCTAGAACAAAAATGTAGAGAGAAATATCTGGCATTTCAAAAAAATGACATAGAAGAGTGAAAAACATTCAGTACTTTACAAATATTTTGTATTTCTGTTTAATTGGCTTCTTGCCAAAACCTTTTATTATCATGTTCCTAGTAAAGCAGATTATTGAAAAAAAAAAAACCCTAAGAGTGATGAAAAAGGGTACATGGAAATTTTCAAAACAAAATATAGTTGAAACCCTGAATTTTTAAGATGTTTACACTGTCACATCACATTGTTTTCAATAATGTGCTTTATTAAATTACCACCTTCATCAAATTTTCCCCAAGTCATGAGCAACAATTAGCTTCATTAGGTTTTGAGGGTGGGTAGTTTTAATGAAGTACACAGAGCAGACACCCATGAAGCCTTACAGGCAGGACTGCTTCCTGCTATGATACCTCTGCCCTGGCACCAGACCTGAAAACGGAGTAAAGCACGAGAGGGCGAGGGCTAGCATCTTGATTCTGCTAGCCAGTTGTCTTCACTGAAAAGAACCCAGCTACTACATGGCCTTTCTTTTTTTAAACACCACAAATCCTAATTAGAAACGAGATTTTATAGAAATTTAATGATAGTAATTACGTACATAGATTAATGTGAACACAGTATCTAAGCTTCCAGTGTGTCTATGTTAAGTTACAATTAACTGTCTTTCACTATCAGCTTAACATTTGGAAGTTTCTAGAACTGTTAAAGCTATTTACAAATAGGGGTGGAAACTTTTCAACCCATATTCTCACCTTGACTGCTATATTTTGAATTAGTTCTCTGTACCCAATTAAAGTGTATTTTATGAGTAATCTTAGTAGAATCTCTTAATTATAATATCTCATTAGGATAAGTTATTTGTCAGGTTTCAGTTCTAAACCTTGAAGGAAGCAAAATATATGTAAGTAAACCATACGTTCACTTTTGGTTGCTTCCTTTTCTTCCCTGTAACTCAAAAGTTTGTGGGTGGGGAAGAAATCTGTGAATCACAATGCAACAGAGGCTGACCAAGCAGTACATTAAGACTCACAATTGTGCTTTTAGAGCTGGAATGCACCAGTTGTCCTTGTGCCAAAGGCAAATACTACATTTGCACCTTTTTTTTCCTCCCTGATTCTCAGGTTAATACTGCTAATGCGAATGTTCAAGTAGATGTTCTTTAAAAACAGAGTCAAGTGATACTTTCTTTTAAAAGTGTAGAGTAAATTCATGAACTATAGTAGGTTTGTATCAAACAGATTTTTAAAATGGAAACCTGTTGGTTAATATGTACACAATATGCTTGACTATTACAATCCTTGGTCTCTGCTAGACCTCAATCAAGTTCATCATTTAAAAGGGTAGCAGATGAACTGATGTGGTCACCTTAGATAAAAAAAGACCTAGTTGTACTTGCTTTTGAATACACTGAATAATTTTAAATAATCCAGACGTCAATACATTTAGACCTTTTGATTTATAGTGTTGGATAAATTCTAAGGAAACAACTCTGCCACAGTTTAAAATATTTACCTTTTTGTTTTCTATAGCATATCCTGATTTTCCTCTTTTGAGATTGTTGCTTAGAGGAAAGATCTAGGATTGTTCAATGGGATAGAAATGGGAAAATTGTTTTGAGGCATTTCCCTAAAGAGCAAAGATTTATACTTTCCATTTTCACCTGTCACCTCCCCCACTATGGTCGAAGTGTCACAGCTGATGGCCTAGGGCATTTCCTTGTGACAGTTAAGCTCCCTAAACACGTGAAAGCATTTAACTTAGTACCTGGCACACTGCACTCAGCGGAAGTTTGGCTCTGTTACGGGAGGGATTTTTTCCTGTTTGGGTGTGCCCTGTGCCCTATGGATGCTCTGTTGTCCTAACTCTACACCTGCTATACTTGAACACCACCAAGGGAAGTGACATGAAGCTAGCAAAAATCTGAGGCCAAAGTTGTTTCCTAACAGCTTTAACAGCTGACTTGCTTGATTCTGAATCATCTTTTAGAGAGGACCATTTGCTTAACTATCCTAATACACCTCAATAAAATATTAGTATTAAAAAGATCAGCTTTATGCACTGAGGACATGATGCACTAAGACATAAAAATTGGACATAAAACTAGGTGGGGGAGGAAATGTTGCAGGTTGGATGAAAGTCTAACAGATTAGCATGTTAAGAATTGCAACCCTCCATCTCTGGTTATGTGTGTATGGGGCATAGTTAGCACATCATTGGACTTGCAGATAGATGTAGCTTTGGATGACCCTGTGTATTGTTTGTTAGCAGTGACAGACTGTTCTCGTCATGCTGGTAGAAGAGACGAAGGTGGAGCCCACTCTTCCATGCTGGTGTTCATCAGGCAAAGCAATTCTCTCACTACTCAGCTACTCTGCTAAGGTTTTGTTTTTAGGTTTTGGTACTTCACATAAGCACTGTTAGAAGGTACAAGTGTATTAATATCACTAGTTCTAAAGAGTTTGGGTACATTTGTTTTGATATATGTAGAATGTAAGTTTTTTTTTCTTTTTGGCAAAACTACTCTTACCATTTTAGGTCCAGTTACTGAGTTGACAGTCTACTGTGAGAATGAGATGACATATCTACTGTGAGAATAACATAAATGATAGTTTATTTGAAAACTTTTATACTCAGTGGTGTTTTATATATTAAGTTTAAAAACACACACACACACACACACACACACACACACATCACATTGCTCTCCTGTAGAGTTAATGTGAATTTTTAAAAAATGGAATTGCAACTACAATCATATCTAAAAGAGCGTTCACTCATAGTGAGGGTTTACAAAAGCCACTAAAAGAAGAAAGTAAATGATGAAAATGCATAGGGTCATCATTTTGGGGTTAATTTTATTTTAAAATTTTTAGTGCTACTTTTGAAAGAATTGTTTTTACTGTTCTCTTTTTGTGATTGAGAAGTCATCTAATAGCAATATAGAAGCCACCTTTTAATTGCTGGCAAACAGCTTTAAGTGCACTTTCTTTGATTATACTTCCATTTTTTTGTTAAACTTGAATTTCTGAAGCCTTTTATGTACCACTAAGCAAATAATTTTACCTTCAAATAAATCTGATTTACATCTTTATTATATTTCTAATTGTTGTAAAATGTACTTGTTAAAGTATCTTTAGTCTTAAAACATAGCTGGGAAACTGAAGAGATACAATCAGTTGCTTTTCCCCCAAATCTAATTAAGCACTAATTTTATTACTTTATCATCTTTACATTGCTTATTCTTCAATGCTGTCCCTGATTCACTTTGTTTTGTTTGAAATTTAAAGTTATTTTCTTACTGTATTTATCATACTTGTTTTAATAATCTGCTTTCTTTAAATGCAATAAATCCCCAATGGATTGCCTATTCTTTATAATCAGTGACTTTGGAGTTTTTCATTATTTGTCTTATTAAAGTTTTGATATAAACTTCTGTTCAGTTCTTTCATTCATACTATGCACATTAAGGGTGTGGCTGCTAATGGAATGCAAAATAAGACTGGATCCCTGTTCTTAAGGAGCTTATAGTTGAGGATTCAAATAAGAAAACACATTTTGTCCTGGAATTTTTGCAGTCAGAATAATTAGCACAATTATTTTAGTCTCAACTGTTCCTGATACAGTGATAATAGCAAGGCAAAAAGATTGAAGTGCCTTTTAAATAACTCACTTGGCAGAGTTTTTGTATTATTTGTACTTTAATTTTAAAACTCCTAGAAGATTGTCAACATATACAACTGTTAAAAATGTTTTGGTTACATAAGTGCCTGACTGTTTACGGGATGGATAGATGGAGTGTGGTGTCAAGCTGCCTTACCATCTTACAATGTCTTATTCCACAAACTGGAGGGAGTCCAGATTAGTGGCCTGTGACAGTTTTTCAACCAAAAGAAAGATTCATCTTATCTGTTATGAATGAATGACCTTTTTCTTTTTTGTAGTAGTAACATTTATCTAAAGTTATATGAAAAATATGGGCTTTGTATCTTTTTAATGAATAACACAAAGCAGCAAAATGTGAAATGATTAGAAAAGTTACATAACAATTTGTAATGCATCACTGTTCAAATTCAGTTAAATACTTTCGACAAAATTATGCTGAATTTGTTTTCGGTAATTCCTTTTTAAGGAAATCCAACTAAAGCACTGCATGTAGCATGTAGTTAGTACTCTCATTTTTAAAGCATGAGCTTTGCAATTTTATTTGTTGCATATTTTAAAAAGTTCAGCTGGCTGGCACAAATGAGCTTACATGATACTAGGTAGTAGAGCAGTTCAAGGCCTTAGTGGCTGTTCAGTTTTGCTATTGAAGATACAGAGACTCTTCACAAAAGGGCCTCCTGCTAATTCTCCCTTTAGGAAAAAAATATCTTTTAAAGGTAATTTAGCCCTGAATCATTACTCCATTACAGGTGTGGTACAAAACTGAAATGGACCTCAGCACTCGACAGCATCTACACCACTTTTCAATGTAAACATAGTGACTGTGATAATGAGTATGGGAGGCACTTCTGCTCCTCTGCTAACAACTAAGCCAATTTCTTCCCACTCTTTGGCAGGGGCAGAACTACTAGGAATGCCTTGGGCTGGGTACAGACCCAGTCAGCACAGCAGCTGACAGGAGTCCAGGAGTGCAGGCTTTGCCTCTTGACATTTAATACAGGGCAAAGTACATCTCTAGTAGGTACCTGCCAAATGGAGAGTTGTACACCTTTCTGCCAGTCAATCACAATCTTCCAATCAGTTACTCTGTCCAGGAGGGATGGCACAAGATGTGACTGATAGTGCCTGATTCTTCATTCCTGATTCTAAAATACGATTTTAAAGCTGTTATATACTACAAAGAATGACAAGCAGCACTTAATATATTTAGTAAACTCAGTTTATTTACATAGTATCTTATCATGCAGCTTATTGAATTGCACTTAGTGTTATAAAAAGACAAGCACTATCTTGCTATTTGAAAATGGCTTTATACCTAGAAAGAACTATTGTTTAAAGAGTTAACTATAACCCTATAAATCGCTATGATTTAAAACAGCCATAGATAATTTTAAAATGTAAAGTCTGTAAAGACCTTTTGTTTACACATAGGTACAATTAAAACTAGTCTCTTTTAGTACTGTAGCTGGATAGTATACTTTTAAGTCTTACTTTAATAAGTTGATAAAAACAAAAATAAATTACATTATTACAAAGTCAGATTTGTAGGCAAGTTCAAATATTCTTTTATGTTAATAATGTCTTAAAAATTTTACCAGTAGTGTTGTGCACACAGTAGGTGATAGATAAATGCTGACATACAGAAGTGCTTATAGTTGAGGGCAATCCACATTCATTCCTTTATAATACATCACTGTGACAATAAAAATGAAATATAGCTTTTTTGTAGTATTTAACATTTTCACAAAACATTGAAATGTTTATGTAGATAATTCTGCCTACAGTTAGACCTGTATGCCTTCCTTTTAAATTCAGGAATTTTAAAAATTGAAACAAAATTCAAGACTGTTTTTTCTTTTCATTTTGAGAAGATTTTAAAATAAAAATGGTCCCAAACCTGAAGTAATTGAACTTCCCCCTCATTTTTAACTTGGTATATTAACTGTGTACTTAGTGTATTTTGTTTGGCCAAAATGGCAAAACATCTATTTAAAAGCAATGTCATGTAAGCCAATAAAGGGTGTTTTAGGAAAATATGTCCTACTGTCACACCACAATGTTCTAAAACATACTAATCAAATTTGTGGCCTTATGAGGTACAGTAGCCATTTTCAAAGTAACATTCCATGATCACAAAGGATACGCCAGAGTGAACCCTTACTTAACCTAATAGGGAGGTTATTTTCTAACAGCCTCCACGAAATACCAGTATGGGGAGTTTATATTCCCAAAACACTATAGTAGAAAGAAACAGTTTACATATGCATAAACTGAGGCACATTAAAGTTACTTTCCTAATACTGGATGTACAAAAAAGGCATTTTTGGAGTAAGCTTCAACATCCATCAGCATTTCTTCTGATGTTCAGTTAATGCTACTGTTCAGAAAATATAACAGCAAACAGAACAGCTTGTCAACTGGTTAAGAAACTTTGGTATAATCCAATAAACAACATAAGGTTTATGCATGTCTGCTTTATGGGATTTAATTTATGCATATGAAAAACCAAAGAACATTTTACTCTGTACGATAGGGCAGCAATGTTTTTAAAGTATAAACAATAAAGAGCAAGTTTAATGCTTTGGGTCCAAATTTTAGATAGTGTTTATGAATACTCTCTAGTTAACAACGTGATGGGAATGCATTCATAAACAGAAAACTAGAGCATCGGTGAATAATCCCATCAAATGGGGCATTTGCATGAATTTTTTCTAAGGCTTAAGGTTCACTTCAGGGTCAAGTCAGGGCCATCTAGACCCCATGGCCTTAAGAGTAGCACCCATATAGCTGGAAATCCTCGTCATCATGAAATACAGAATTGATTCAGAAAGGTGAAAGCTCTTCTGGAATTCTACATCAAAATCTTACGCAATCCACTCTCAAGAACTCAATTATTACATGGAATCAAATAATATTTAGAACTAAAAGGCTTAGGTGGCTAATGATTTGGTTAATAAATCACAGAATTTGTCAGTTATGTCCTTCTATTTTAATGTGACTATGATCAGATAAATAACAATGAGTATTTTTTGCCTTTTCTCAACACCTCTCTCAAAGCAGAAGTTTAAAGCTTTTGTTCTGATAAACTAAAATATCCAGTATTTGTCAGGAGAGCAGAACCTATGGCTAAAGGAATTAAAATCTTAAGTGCCAGTTTCTCACAAAATGTGTAAAGGCTGTGATTATAAAACCACTATCTTAGCGTGTACTAAGCACAGGCTGTAATAACGTTCACCTTGATTAGGCACTTAAATTTGATTATTTAATGAAAATACCTTCTATTAAAGCAATCAGACAGGTAACTCCATTTCCAATGCAGATGAGCCCTCCCTAAGAAAATTAAGCTGGTGTTTAGTAAAATAATCCTGTTACTATGCTAGTTTCACATTCACTGTTGCTATTCAGATATTCTTATGATTGCCAACTAATCTTCACTTTCTGTACAAGCAGCAAATTAGTAGTTTTCAGGGTCTGTAAAGCAGTTATTACTACAGATCTCCAAGTATATTTTTCCATTTTTATAAAGCAGTATTCATGATACATTAAACAACAGGAAAAAGCAAAAACTAATGGGAACCTTAGAAATAGTGGGGTATGTAACTCCCCATTACATATTGCTACTCAATTCATCAGGCGGCCATACCTGAACTCACAAGCGTGAGACATAGTCAGGACAAGGCTTGCTATGTCTGTACTGCATGACATACACTGTTGACTGATGCCACCAATATAACATCACTACTGCAAGGATGTGCCATATTTGGTGGCTTGATCCGAGGTAGTTTAGTTGTCCTGTAAGGGAAAGCAGAAAGAAATTAATACTGATTGCACTATCCTGCTATTAAAAGAAAACACTTCGGTCTTGGGAATATGGTTTAGCAGTAAAAACAAAACAAAGAAACCAACCAAAAAACCGTGGGAGTTTTAGTTCCTAAAGACTAACTGGAAATTCAGACCCAGATGTTTAAAAAATATGAACTCATTTGAGCCTAATTTTAAGGTTTTATTCATTAAATACAGAGGTGGATTTTAGGAATGCTATTACCAATATGTGTTTAAAATCTAACTTGCTTAATTTTGGGAATTTCACCTTGTGCCTCCCATGTCTCTTATCAGGTGGAATGGAAAAAAATTACTACATGAAGGCAAAAGAAACTAGTGTTATAAATCAGGGAGTGACTTAGTCTCAATCTGTGAGCACATGCACTGTTGTGTTTAGATATGAATCCGGCAGGAATACTTTTCATTTTATGCTGATATACAAGGATAAAAAGCTCACATTTGAATCTTAGGCCTTCTAATAGAATAAACTGCAAAATTCTGTAATTAGCAATAGGCTACTTAAGATTAAGAGAATAATTTAATTTCTCTTTGTAGTTGTTAAATTTCAAGGAGATCAGATAATTAACATGTTGGAAGCATCTTTATTTTTCTTAGTAAATAACAAAATACAGAGCTACAACAACGTATGTGTAAACTTTTCTTCTTTTTCTTGTTCTTGGTACTTCTATTTTCTTACCAACAATAATATAGATCTTATTTTTTATTTTAGTTTTTCTTTTTGAGACAGGGTCTTGCCATGCAGTTTAGGGTGGCCTTGAGCTCACTTTGTAGCCCAGGCCAGTCTTGAACTCACAGGATCCTCCTGCTTTAGCCTCCCAAGTGCTGGGATTATAGGCACACATCACCACGTCTGGCTGCAACATAGATTTTAAAGTTAAATCCTTATGGATTCTTAGCTTTCTTTTTTTGGAGATGGGTGCATGGTCTCCTTTGACTCCTAGTGAAAACTACACAGCCATTTTTAGAAACAAAACAAGAGGATTACAAAGAAAACCGATTGTCTTATAATACAAGTATGAGAGACGCATTCAATTCTATTCATGTACACTGTGGAGACCCTTCGGCCCATCAAACAGCACTGTTGTGTTTTATTTTAAAAGATTTTACATGAGCTGGATTTATGTTCCTAGGTTTAAATCTTTTAATTTTCCAGTACTCACTGTCTGCATGGCCCACACTTCTCTCATACACGGGAGAAGGCACCTACCCTTGAACATGTGAGACTATCACTTTCAGCTGGAAAGACTGCAGTTGTTATGGTCTCTACATCTGACAGTTCTCAGGTGCCTGCACTCAGCCCCACAGCCACATGGAGCACAATTCATGGCAAGCTCATCCTGGGGGAAAGCTAGGTTATGTAACATCTGAACTTGTATAGGTGTCCTATAATACCCAATTCTTAGCCTTTCATTTCAACATTTTAAGGCCTAACAACACATTTTAAGGCCTAAAAACACTATGGCCATATGACACAGTATATTTTGAGGTTCAATTTTCTACTTCTTGGGATGAGTCAGAATTTTTAAAAGAATTGCTAATAAAGTGATACAAAAATGTATCTTCCTAGAATTGCTTTCTGAGGAAAACTCTGGTCCTGCTTGGGGAATGAGTGCTCTTTAATACAAGGACATGTCCTAGTTATGTTCCTGAATTCTAATGTTTACACACTCAGGGTCTGCATTCCCATTCTTAAAGCTCAGTGGTAAAAATCTAAGCACAGAGGAATGCCTGAGGACCCATTCTCCTTTCCCTACATGCAATGAGTAGCACGACCCCATAGCTAATTCCTTGCACAAGTGCCTCATGACCTGGGAAACAGAAGGGACAAGTTTGCTTTTGTATTTAAACTGCTCCCTTTAAGTCTTGCAAATTGAAAAATCACTTTTTCTGTACTCAGATGTTAGTCTTGCGTCAAAGATAAAGCTTTCCTGGATCTGCATCCTTTTGCCCCTTACTAAGCTACATTTTACATTTATGAAATCAAATTGAAGGACATCAATCTAACATTGCCAACACTGAATATTCACTATCTGCTAGGAACTTATACTATTTTACGTACATTTTTCCATTTAATCTTCACTATACATCTAGGAAAGAAGGTATCATGTCCATGTTTCAGACGAGGAATGTTACAATTTATACTTAGATGTCCCCATAAAGTTGTACGCACTCATAGGTGGTGCTTCTGAAATGTGACTGGGTCATGGGGGCTTAAAGTTGACTTGATGTAGGAGGCGGGGTCTGACTGGAGGAGGTGGATGGATGGATGGGCGTGTGGCCTAGAAGGGTATGCAGCCTCCTTCAGCTCCTCCTTCATTCTCCCTGCTCTCTGTGTGCCAAGAGGTGAGCAACTTTCCTCTGCCCAGGCCTGTTCACACTGCTCTACCTGGAGCCAGCTGGACCATACAAGGACTGAAATTTCTAAACATGAACCAAAATAAACCTCTTCTCCTTTAAGTTGCCAGTGCCAGGTATTTTGGCCCAGCAATGATGAAATTGACTAAGACATCATAGCTGGGAGCCGAGAGTTTAAGTAGTCTATTTGTGCAGCTTACTGCAGAATCTAAGCAGACTGGCTCTGGACCTACCATGTCAGAAGCAGCAAGTTTATGTTTTGTAGAAAGAATGCTGTTCACTGTACACTGTGTCTTCTTTATTATTCTCCATCAGAAATTTTTTTTCTCTGTATTGAAGGACAGAGAAACCCATCCTCCTGAGTTACTAACTTGTGAGTATCTTGGGAATGTGAGGACTCAACAATTTTTCTTGGCTCTAGGGCCAGGAAGCAAAAGTAAAATTACAGGTAAGGAGGATGTCTTAGTTATTTTTCACTTTGCTGAGGCCAAATACCTGACACCCAAAGTTAAAGGAGAAGAGATTTATTTAGCTCACAGTTTATAGGGGTTTCAGTCCATAATCAGCTGGTTCCAAGGCAGGGTGACTTGGCAGACAGCATTGTAGAGGAGATCAGTTCATGCTGGGCAGAGGTGGCAAAGCAATAAGGAATGACCATGGTTCTATCTCTTATATCTTATCCAGACTACTTAGGGTAGGTAGCACTCATACCCTTAATCCTAGTGCCCTTGATCTTAGCTTTGCACTGTGAATCAATTACAGGATCACATAGTCTACATCCAGCCAATTCAAAACAGCCCCAACTATGACTAGTCACATGAGGCTTTGGGGGCACATCTAGCACAAGTCATAACATTACACTCCTGGATCCCCAAACACTCATGCACGTCCTTTTATGTACAAGGAATTTAGTACATCCAGGAGTTGCCAAAGTTCTAAAAACTGCAGCACTGCTGAAAAGTCCACGTCCAAAGTCTCCTCTGAGATTTAAGGCAAACATTTAGCTATAAGCCCTTGTACAAATGAAAAGGAAGTTAAACACTTCCAACATTCAATGGCACAAGATAGACATTACCATGCCAAAAGGTACAAACAGGGTGTTAGCAGAGAATGGGAACAAACCAAGACCAAAATCCAACAGAGAAAACATTAAACCCCATAGTTCCATGTCCAGCATCACTGGGAATCTATGGCAAGTTGTGAATTCCAAAGGGCTTAGATGGCTCTGTACCTACTGCAAGCTTTTGCTGGTGGTACTCTCCTAGCTTCTTTGGCTGGCTTTGCTCACTCCTTGCAGCTTTCCTTGGATGAGCCTCTCCTTGGGTTCTGCAACCTTCTGCAGTCTTCATGCACTTCTGGCTTCACACTCACAGCTTCACACACTGCCCTCTCAGGGCATACTACCTGGCCTTCTTCTGAAATCTGGGTGGAAGCTTTCCTGACCCTACAACTCTTGCACTCTGCACACACCTAAAACCAGCACCATGTGGATGATGCCAGTGTCTGCAGCCAGCTGGAGCAGTGGCCAGGCTTCCTTCTCTTTTGGCTATAGGGGTTGAGTGCTGGGATCACTGAGTACTCTGAACCCAATCCAGAGTAACAACTTCCTTAGGCTGTTGCCATTCTGGAACATGGTGCTTTGGGGCTCTCTTCTCAAAACAAAGTCTTTCACTTTTGCAATTTTGAGGTTGCAAAGGGTGGAGTCCTGCTGCTTCATATGATGCCCTCAGGCTATCTTTTCTATTCTCCTGTTCCTTCTCAGCAATCAAGATCTTGTCTGCTCTATCTTGGCAGTCCATATTTTTATTAGAGTTTCCTTTTGGCAAACTCACATGTTTTAAAGTATTCCTCTGGGCTCTTTGCTCTTGATTCTCAACATAAATCTGGCTAAAAGCCCCCACCAGTAGCCATGCCACCATCTCAACATTAGACTGCCTTGAAATTTTTTCTGTCAGTTTAATTAGTCCCCACTCTTAATCCTAGTTTCAGGTGAAGTCTTTGGACATGAGCAAAATGCAGACAAACTTTCTCCCAAGGTGTAACTAAAACACATTGTCTGGAAGAACCTCCTGAGTTTGGTCTTTACCAGCAGCATTTCAATTAGCATTTGGGTCTTCTAAGCTCTGACCAGAATCTCCCAAGTACAGCCTGAGGTATTCCAGCTCTACTTTTTCAGCTGGCATCTCCAAATCTTTTCTAACTCTTCCTTTCCCATAAGGCAGATTCAAAGACTCCTAAACCACATGGTCAGGTACAGTAACACCAATGACCCCACTTCTCTGGTACAAAAATTCTGCACGAGGCTTTGGGAGGATATCTAAACACGAGCCATAACAGGGGGAACTACTATTTTATGATACCATTTCTCTCCTACTGAACTCAACTCACTGAGAGAATGATAGGAAAAGTTTGTGAAAGCCCTTCAAAAACTTAAGTTTTGGTTAATACTTGGGAATAGAAGGATTATTCTATAATCAAATATATTTTTAAAAAATGTAAATTTTGATTCTCTGAAGCATTTACTTCAAGCATACATTCTGAAATAAAATTACAAAACCACTATAAGAGATACCCACCTGGAAAGTACCGTTCTGGAACTTTGGAAATGTAGAATAGGAAAGCAAGAAGAGCAATCACATACATCACAATTACACGGGATGCAAAGTCCTAAAAAGCAAAACATATTATATGTACATATATATATTTTTTTTTCAACAGATTTTCCTACTGATACTGAATTCTCAATTTATTATAATGGTAGAGTTAAAAAGTTAAATCTTAACTATTTTATGGATAGAATTCAGTAACACAAGCTTTGCTTCCTTTCTTAAGAATGGAGCACAGTAAATGCCTTAAGGTTAGGTTACTAAAGGAACTAGAGTTTTAGCATTATAGAGGGTCCTAAAGCTGTCCAACTCCTCCACAGTGCAGGAATATGGTAGAATGCATATGGGAACAGTTACTAGTGATGCATAGAGATTAAACACCAAGGACTATGGCTGGAAGAAACCTACACTTTTCTGCCCAAGACAGAAATTGTTTCCAGTCCAACAGGTAAATGATCTTCCTGAGCACCACTACATGCAGCTTTGCAACTCCCTGTGGATGCTCTGCTGGAAAAGCTTTACTAGGTCCTGAGAAAATCAGCCAGCTATAACTTAAATGTCCTGTTTTTCATTCTGGTTAAAAACCTCATTTACCAAGAATTCATCTCAGAAATAAAAACAGGGCTGGGGATATAGCTCAGCAGCACAACGCCTGCCTGGCAAGCCTGAGGTCATGAGTTTGATTCCCAGTACCAAAATAAATAAATGAATAAATAAAAACAAATTATTTCTCTTTCCTCTTCAAATACATGAGGATTTTCACGGCTCTCCTTAAACCCTCTATTCCTAAGGTCAATCAACCTCAGATTTCTCAAACATTCTAGAACAGTGGTGGTGACACCATGGCACGTGTATTTTTAATATAAAAAATGCTAATGTATGAGTTGTTTTTTCTAAACTAAAACCTCAGTGTTCAGTTTTAATTGCAATGTTGGCACTCGGTGATACATAAGTGGGTTTTGGGTTGCAGTCTGGGCATTCATCTTTAAAAGGCTTGTCATCACTGGTCTAAAAGACAACTTCACTCACCTCTCTGGATTAACCCAGAAAAACTTTTCATTTTTGCTAACAGCCTCTCCTTCTATGTTTCAAAGGTCATAAGTTAGAAAATTTCTCTGAAGTTTCCCTTTCCTTTCTCACTGCAATGATCTGTGCTCATATCAGAATTCCATCTTTGAGAACCACTGTCTTCTTATGCCATATTTCTATTTTAAGATTTCTGAACATGGAAATATTTTTTTTTTCTCTAAAATCCACTGACTTAACAGGTCTTATCCTTTTGTCATTATAAGCTTAAAAGGAATGTGTTCACCATACACAAAATTTTAATCTCTTCTACATCAACAACCAGTTATTCATTTCTGGTCAGAGTTGAATTTAGGGTTTCATTCTATTTTCTTATACTTAGGGAATCAAAATTGCCAAAAAGCAGAATCACTTACTTCCTTCATTACCATCATCTCACCTTCTCTCAATTTCCTAATCTCATGAAGAAAATATCACCTCTGTTCTCAAATGAGCCAGATGTATCAGCCAGCCCACTGCCACAGAATGGCCTTTGTTCTCACTGCACACACAAGTGTTTCTCAACAGGCTGCTGCAGGTGAACGTAAGCCTACTAACAGTCTCTCCTCTTCTAACTAATACCTGAGGCTTTTGGAACAAAGTCTGCCTTTAAAATTCTGCATTTCAGACAACAGTCTTAGGCAACGAGTAACAATTCTAGGTGATTTCTGCTCTTTGCAACAAATGCAGTGGTTTTCTGCCAGCTTTCTTAGCAAATTTACTTATGTTAAAAAATTTCCAATTTACTCTCAAGTGCATTTTTATAAGGATCTCTAAAAAGATATTTGTAATCCTCTTCTTGAGAATACTGGGTTCACCGCAGTTCTTCCCAATGTGCATCAGCTGTCCTCCGTAACACCTGACTCTAATAGCTCTTTCCATGTTCCTCAGGTATTGCCCTCAGGTAGGTTGAACATGCTTCCCTGGCCCCAGCTTCCATGATGATGATACTTCCAAACCTTTATCACAAGTCTCAAATTACTGCCTAAATTCCAGACCCCATGTCTACCTTTACATCCTATACCATGTATACTTCAAACTCAATAGGTAAAATAAAAAATCCTTTTTAAATCCCTATTCCTAATTCTGTATTTTGGTTACCATCAGCAGTTTCACTAAACCAGAAGACAAAGCTAGAAACTTTGAAGTTCTCCTTCACAGATAAAAGACTCAAGTTATTTACACACTAAGTTGTTAGAGAATTAATGATGTGTTATTTCACAGAAAGACATTCAGAAAGAAACAGTAGTGAGACTCACCTCTACTTCTGAAAGATATGTTTATCATATAATTGTGAAAATTATGGTATTAATATACAGTGAAAAACAATGTCCTCAAAGGACACAGGTCCATCTAGTAGGCCCAGTTATACCACTTTCTCTGAAATGAATACAATCCCCTACCTGTACAATAGGAGAACCAACTCCTCCATTGAGCCAAACCCAGTGAAGAGTAGGGATCACTCCATAGCCCGAAACAGAACAAAAGATGATGGAGCGGAGCCTCTGCCATTGCTGCGTGAGGTAATTGGGATGAATCTGCGCAAAGAACACTGCGAGGATCATAGCAAGCACTGTGATCAAGTACACCTGCCGCCAATACTAAAAGGAAAGGAAGTCAAATTTTAATTCTGCTATTAGCTACAAGGGACAAAAAAGAGTAATTCTGATTTCTGTATTACACATTCAAAGCTATGTAGCATTTTACTTGCAACTAGGATTATTTACCTTCCTTAAAAATACATTACTTTATACAATTTTAAAATTTCTTATGATGAAAAACAAAATTCGAAAGTGATCTGGTAGAAGACCACATCTATTCCCACCAAAGCACCTCCTGAGTACTTCTGGTATGACAAGCAGATTCAGTGCTGTAGACAGCGCACTCACTTGGAGGGGAGGTGCAGGGACTACGGAGAGGCAGGCACAGCATGTGATCACTATGTCATGATAAGCGCTGTACCCGAGTTACAAACAGAACGCTGTGGAACCGCTGAGGACGACACTCTGCTCCACAGAGGGGATAACATGCCAGCTAGGTCCTGAGGAACCTGCAAGGCTGTGTGGGAAGGAGATGTGAAGAAAAGGACGAGCAAATGCTGTAGGAAGTGTGGAGAAAGGAGGGGACTGGCAGGTAAGGTCACACTAAGGAGGTCAGCTCTGAATGACAGGGATCTTAACAGCGGGTGATACAGCCATTTTTCAAACTGACTTATTAGAAAGATAACTCTGTCCTCAGTGGAGAGAAGAGGTAACAGGAAGCCCGTGAGAAAAACAACTCAACCACTAATTCAAAGAGAAAATGAGGGGTCGGATTCTGCTGACAGGTGGACATGAGCACTAGATGCCGTTTCTGGGGCTGACTGGTTGTGAGCAAGGGTTGGAGAGAAGGGCTCACCTTTTTAGCGTCAAAGGCCATGTAAATAGTTTCTACTCAGGAAGTAAATGGATGAAATTTACGAGGTTTTGGGGAGGGGGTGCATGTGGTAGGGGAAGAGGCCAGGGAGCATGATGGAATATTCACTTAAAACACGAACTCTGAGGGCCTATGAGACATTTAGGTACCCAAGTGAGCAGCTGAAAAACTGGCCTGGAAGTTTAAAAGTCAGGATCACATAGGGTAAGTGTTCGTAAACTGGGCTCCAGGACTTCTGTGGAAATATTTGCTTCCTGAACTTGCATACTGGAAGGCTGGTTTGGCGTGTCCCCATATGCACTCACTCCTCGATCAAGGGTCCATGGCTTTCAGGCCCAGTTTGCAAGATGAAGAGGCCACGGAAGCAACCGAATATATGGAAATGGTCAGAAACCAGACAGAATCAATTCTTCTTTTATGATCATGGACTGTTTCAGCTCTAGTAGTGCCCTTGTTTTTTTGTAGTTTCTCTGATAAATGTCTTACTTTGATGTTTAGAAAGATGTAAATAGAAAATAGTTTCAGAGAATGATAGACTAGGATAAGCAAGCAATGCAAATACTACCTGACTGCCTTATAAGCTCCAAGCATGTTGTCTATATAGTTTTTTTTCTTATTGTAACACTGGGAATCGAACTCAGGACTTTGTGCTTGCCAGGCAGGCACTCTGCTGCTGAATTATATGATTTTTAAAAAGATGTACAGTTTCATGCAAAATGAGTAAGTTACAAAAGCTTGGCAGATAGGAAGAGTTTACTAAAATCACATCAATTTACAAACAAGTTAATCCCTTATGTATTTAATTATATTTTTCGGTCCCAAAGTAATTAGGCTTAAAAAGCAAATGGCTCATGCTTAAATTGATGTAATTAATAATGCTCATACAATCAAATCTAATTTCTGATTTTTCTCCCTGCTAGTTTTGTACACCAGATACACTGGCAGTTTTCTGTGTCATTATGTAAAGACAAGGGTCCTATTGAAGAATCCCAAATACAAGAATCCTGTGCTACAGCCAATCTTCCCGAGAAGTGATGGTTGAATGAATACCTGCCATACAGGTAGAGGGAGGCTTGGGCAGGACAGGCTTCCTTCTTTATGAAAAGACAGGTATACTGCTTCTAAGGGAAAAATATATTCTTGGCTTTGAAAAGGGAGTAACTAAAAGGACAAAGAAAATAATCGAAGAATATGGTAGGAAAGTAGAAGGAAAAAAGAGTAAGGTCTTTCTGAGCAGGACAGCTTGAGAGGTACTGAGTCCAGGGGAAGATTTAATTTGCCTTCTGGCCAGAACACGAGGTGATGGGTTAGGGAATTTATTTCAAAAGGCTTCACTGACTAACATTTTTAGGCCACATGTCACATTATCCAATCAGTGTTACAAATGCTGCTGTGCATAAGGAAAAAAACCAGCTAATCCAGAATTCAGAACAAATACCCTTGTTTTTTTTTTTTTTTGGTTTTTCTCTGGTACCGGGAACCGAACTCACGACCTTGCGCTTGCCAGGCAGGCGCTTTTGCCACTGAGCTAAATCCCCAGCCCCAAATACCCTTGTTAATGACACTCACCACCTGTCTGGTCTGCCTCTAGGTCTTATACCAAATATAAGTAAGGAAAAGAGAACGTATCTTTTTTTTTGGTCTTTTTGAGACAGGGTTTCACTATACAGTTCAGGGTGTATAGTGGGCTACTCACTTTGTAGCCCAGGCTGGCCTGGAACTCACAGCGACCCTCCTGCCTCAGGCTCCCAAGAACACATTTCTTATAGTAGAATATTGGTCAATACATGCAGATACATTTTTTTTTTTTTTTTAACTCAGAGAGAAGTAAATATTGAGAAGGAAAATGGAAAGCAGTAGCCAACTTCACAGGTTTATCAAATGCTAATTTTAACTTCAATTCTATATACACAAAAATGAAGATATGTAATGTGTGTATTGAGGGCCGTGTGGATTAAGTAGAAACACTTAATGATTCAATGTCTGAGTTTCAGAAATAACTATACCTTTCAGAACTGAGTGTGGTGGCTCACACCTGTAATCACAGCACTCAGGAGGCTGAGGCATGAGGATTGCCACAAGTTCAAGGCCAGCCTGGGCTACATAGTGAGTTCAGGGCAGCCTGAACTGCATAATGAGACCTTACTTCAAAAAAAAGAAAACAGAAACAAAAAAAACAAAAAAACCCCTATACTTTTCAATGGAAAATTAGTAAAATAAGTGTAGAACTAATAATAGATGTTAGAGATCACAAGGGCCATCTGACATTCAATTTCTTGTTTTTTTGTGGTACCGGCAACTGAACTTGTGACCTCACATTTGCCAGGCAGGCGCTGTGCTGCTGGCCCTGCTCACAAGGGCCATTTAAAAAAAAATAAGTTCATGCATACATATGACCCTCCTGTTTCTCCTGTCAGCTAATTATGTACTTATTCAGAAATTCAAAGGAAACACTGCAAAAAAAAATCCAAGACCTATGTGAAAGATAAAATGTGAAATATTTGGGGCTGGGGGAATAGCTCAGTGGTAGAACTCTTGTCTAGAACGGGAGAGGCTCTCATCCCCACTACAGCAGAGAGAGAAGGAGAGAGAATGAATGAATGCATGAGGTGAAATGTTTTAAGCTACTTACATTATTACAATAAAATGCATAAAACACTCCTGAGACATAGCAGCCCAGGATTCCAACAGAAATTCCTGCATAATCTAATGCCATCCATCTTCGACAAGTTTTTTCTGATCGATGGCAAGAAAAAAGATGATACCCCACAGAGCAAAGCATACAGACCTACGGAAAACAAAAACAAATCTTAACAAGGTGAAGCAAAAGGAAATGAAGGCAATTCATGTACAAACGATGCCCCTCCTCTTCAGCCTATTGCTGAAGCATCCAGTGCTAAGACCTACTATGTCCTTCCTGGTATTTTCAGGGTCTGTGTCAATTCCTGCAATACAGAAAGCAGCAAACACAGTTTTTAAAATTAATCAGATGGCCTCATACTACACATTCTGTTCTCGATTTCCGGTTTTTCATCTAAGACTTTTTCTGTCCATATGAGATACTGTAGAGTTTTCTTTTAAGTTCTAAGATAAACATGGCTTTATTTTTTCTAAGAAAAAAATAATCATGACTGATTTCGTATGGTTGCCATACTGAACAGCAAGCTAATATGATCCAATCAGTTGTTGTGACCACTGAAAAGGCTTCTACGGCAGATTCCCTCCAGCCATCAAGCACCTGCTGTGTGTTCCCCATCGGAGGATACAAGGATGAAACCTCTACTCTCAAAGAGACTTTTGAGAAACAAGTAAACAACAAGTGCTGTAAGAAGTCCTGTAGAAGTGAGTGCACAGTATAATTAGAAAATCCAGGAGGGAGGCACACACTGTGTGAGTGTATGTGGACTTCTCGGGGCACAGTGTGGGAGAAGAGCATCACAGCAGGGCTGCAGCCTGAGCTGGATTCACTAGGGACACAACAACGGTGTTTGCGGGTTTACTGGGGGTGGGGAAGTGTCCACAAAGAAAAGTACCAAAATAAAAAATACAGAACCATTAAAGAATGTCATGTGTCTTTCTTCATACACCTCCCACACATCAAAAAGTTTTAACTTCAGTTTGAATGGCCAAGTATGATGGTACTGTTTTAAGGGACCCTTCCAAAGATGTGGACTAGACAGGTCGAGGGCCATGGTTAGAGAAATAGTATTGTGGAGCAAGGACAAGAGCTATACTAAGCCGGTGAAAATGGAGGCGGAGAACGGGGCTGTAAACAACATAAAGTAGACCCAACTGACATAAAGTAGACCCATACTTTGTAAACAACTGCTAAATGAAAATCTGGCTATTTTACATTCTGTTCATTAAACAAGCCTAACCAGTTCCCACACTCATCATCAATATTCAATGGCAATGTACTTAGTCATACTTTATTTCTTCATCTGTCTCAAATTCTTATTGGTCAGTGGCTTTTTGGCTACTAAGCTAAAAATCAGAATTTGTGGGCTCCATTAATTCTAAGTAGCTTGATTACTATCTTGGATTATCCTTGTGGCAAAGTGCCAAAATCTGGAGAGTATATGGTATACATTCCTACAGGGAAAGATCCCACTGTCAGTGTTGAATGATACAAGGTCCAGTCATGAAATAGCAAATGACTTTTACTTTCTTCCATAAACTTTTTTATTTGCTTGGATATCTATGAGTATATAGTAGAGTAATAATAAGAAACAATAATGAACCTCATTTCATTATGAAAAGGAAAGTAAAAGAGGAGAGAGAAAAACTATGATATTAAAAGGAAATAATGCTAACAGATAATTCTATGTTTTTAAAAAATTAACCTATAGTGTGCCATATTTAGAAAAAAGTGTGTCACTGCTGGAGTTCCTTAAAAGATGAAAACTAAAGTCTTGCAAATTAAGTACGTTTCAGATATAAAGAAAAACTTCTTTCTATGTATGTCATTCCACCAAGACAGGCAGATAATTACAGCCTTGCATCCTACACCTAAGCTCATTGGCAAAACAAAGTACTTCCTGACTTGGCCACAGCCCATCAAAAAGTTTTAATTTCTTACCAGTCTTACCTTTCTCCCTTCTCCCTAAAGAGTAACACCTGCAGGTCCAGGAAGTGTTAAGCTATTTCTTTCTTCTGGGCCTTTACGCAACTGTTTTTTCTGCTAGTGTCCTGCCTCACTCTCTCTTTTGTTCTCCTACATGGTTGACTTGATTTTCAGGAAATGCTGCTTCTGTTCATCACTGTACTATTGCTGTCTAGTCTAGGGCTTGGAAGTATGTAGGAGGTAATCAATAACTATTTACTGAACTGAACTATACATGAACTGAACTGAGGGAAGGGCATTCTCAGGATTCTATCCTTCAAAATAAATAACCTGTGAAAAGATGCAAAGCCCCTGACTTATATTCTATCATTCAGAATGTACTCTACTAATTTGATTGGGAAGAAAGTGCTAGCACATAGAATGGGTAGAAGAAAAAAATTGTTTTGTCTCTTGAAAGTTAAATGCAAACCAATATTAATGAACACACTTACGGTTTACAAGGCTACCTGCTTCCGTAATAATTTGGAAAACTTGGGTGAAGAATATATAACTTCATAAAAATAAAAAGTGGTCTTTTTAAGTAGGGAAAATGTGTTCATCTGTCCAGAGGAGGCTGTACAGCATGTAAGAGAAAGACCCTAACTGTAACAGTTAAGAGAACAGGATCTTAATGTCTACCTGAATAGCCCTGGGCAGGCCACTTTAACACTTTGGGCCTGTTTCCTCATTTAGTTATAATAATTATTTAACCTTTTAAATTTTACAATACATTCGTAGGCCAAAATGGAAATTCATATGTAATTTCCGAACATCACCTGTGGCAGGTGGTAAAAGGCAAAGGACAGGCCTAAGGGTAGAGGAAAATATAAGAGATTCTCCAAGGAGATGGTATCCATGCAACTGACTACAGTAGAGTACAAACCAGTTTTTACTCTGTATTCATGATTATTAAGAGCATCTTGTGAGGTGGGGATGGTAAAGATCATGTCCTGCCTGGCGACTTGGCGAGACTCTGTCTCCAAATAAAAAGTGAGCTGGGGACGTACTTCTCAGAGGTAGTGTGTCTTGAGTTCAGTTCCCAGAGCCACCACAGACACACCACACTCAATTCATTTTCTTATAAAACTGGAGTCGGGGACGGATTCTAAGAGATGTTCTGATTCTAATCAGCACAAAAAGTAAACCTCTGAAAGAATATAATTTAAAAAGCATTAAAATTTTCTTCTAATAACAAAAATGTGTATTCTTTTCTTCAACTAAATTTAAATTTTATTCCAATAACCAGAATTAGAAAAAAAGAGGGAGATGTTTTTGATGTATTTCTTAATCCTTTAGGTCCAAAGTTTTAATTTGAATAAAATGATAGAGGTCTGAAATTTCACGGTGCAATGAAAACATTCTCTGTGCTCTGGCTGGTTTATAGGTTCACCTCGCAATGAGCAGCAGCAGGCTAACTGCAGGGAGTGAGGGTCTGTGTGTCTGCGAGGCAGAAGTGGATAACTTCTCATTATTATTTTTGTGTGTACCCCTTGTACTTAAAAAAAAAAATTAAGATGTTAACAGGACTATGGCCCACACTTGTTTTGTGCTTTAAAATAATGTTTGAAAAACTGTAATTTTAAAAGGCATTTTTAGTGGTCCTTGAAAAAAAGTACAAATGCCAATGGAACTAAACAAAGGGAGAAGAAACAAAGTATTTGAAACCACGAAACTACACAAGGATGAAAGGAAATTAACATTAAACAGTAGTGCAAAAGATCAATGCCAGTAAAACGAGAGGTACAATAAAATATGGAAATAACAAATGCAAAAATCACAGATACACTGTAATCAGGAAAAAGATAAGAAATCTTGCAAAACAGGTTTTAAGTAGACACTAGTGATTTACTGAGCCAAAGTACGGAGTACAGACATTATCAGCTAAGTGTTAATCACAAAGCAGAGATGCTGAAAAAGATAAAAAGGAATGAATTTTTTTAAATATTTGAAAAGTAGTAGATTTCATATATATTCTAATAATAACACCCAAATATATGTTAATAGGTCTTTTTTAGGTGCTTATGTCAGGAAAGCAAACAAGTTAATACCGTACATGTCCCTGTGGGGGCTCTTTGGAACAGCAGGTCTGAAGTCACCTGCCCCTGCCTGTCTGACAAAAGTTCTCTTTCCCACTAATGGTGTTTGTGAAATGACTCACCTGGAAGCAGAAAAGACAAATAGAACAAATTACAAAATCTTCTCTGGACGCACTTGCCGAAGGTAATACAGATGTCATGTCATATATTCCCAGGGTGAAGAAGAGAAAGAAACCCAGCAAATGACTCCAGATGTTTACTGTCTCATTAGATAAAATAAACAAACTGTAAAGTAAACAAATATGCAACTCAGATTCACACTGGCTCATTTACTGTTAGCATCAAAGGTTAGGGACAACTTTGGGGAGTTACCTAACACTCTGTACTTTAAGGACTTAACTCTATCTGTGCCTCGTTAAGTTTGCTATAACACTTATTCTTTAAGTTCTGTCACATTTTCACCAATCCTGGGCTCATAGAGCTTTTTCTGTGCTCAATTTTATTATATATTTTCTTCCATTAAATTATTTACACATAAATTCCACCATATCCTCTGCCTATTAACTTTCTGACCATCTTTAGAACACCATTTTTCTAAGCAAAGTGTCTTGTTCAGATTACTTACTAAATGTCTCAGAGATAAGTGTGCAGATAAAAATTGGATCTTGGCTAGAACACTTAATAATAGGTATCTGAAGAGCTGCTCACTGCAAAGTTAGGAACAATTTTAAATATCGCTTTAAGTACTCACTAACAAATACAAAGTTAAATGGACTTAAAAGAACTGGAATAGATATCATATGACCCACTGAAAAGGTTCTCTAAGACAGGCATGGTGGAACAACTTTGCTGAGGACATTCTGAAACCAAACTAGTTTCCAGGTAGCATGATTTTATCTCTCTTTAGGAATGACAGGAGGCTACTTTTAATATGGGTTCTATTTGTGTTTGTGTGTTTTTTTTTAATGCCTGGACTACTAAGTGGTTTTAGCAGCACATGTTCGTGGAGTAGAACACCATGCCCACTAGATACCAAGACGCTAGGGTCTTCTGCTTGCCCGGGCCACAAGGTAGCTCTGCAATCATGAGCAAGTCACAAAACCTCTCTGGGCTTCACATTCTTCATCAGTAAAATAAAGTAGCTGGATCAGATGATGCTGCAACTTTTATCTACTTTCTTAATTTTGTGAAATGGTTTTCAGTTGTGGAGAGTGCTCATATGATTTACAGTAAGGTGATGTCATGACTAAAGATTAAAACAGTCTTGCATTTGTCCAGCAAAATCTAAGGATTTTGCTTAAAGTAAGGTTGCAATGCTCACTGATTCAGAAACTCTTCTCAGTAAGCACTAGTGCATAACTCTAAGCTAGATTTGCAACAGCCACTGTTGTTCTCACTTGCCAATTTTTACATGTGATAAACACAGCAAGGTCTCAAATCATCAAATGATCAAGAATAATGTTAATCTTGTGTCATGAAATTCAGTTTATTTTGTACATCAGGTATAAAAACCACTTATAATGGGGAGGGGGCAGGAATGTTCTAGAAAACACCTAACTAGAGGACTGTTTTTGATAATAGTACTACACTGTCTATTGCCTTAGAACTTTTTATTTGTGAGACCCAGTATAACCTGGTTAATGGAACACAACTTTCCCACATTCCAACTATTAAAACTATTAGAATATACAAAATCTTCCCTTGTATCCAGAACCTTGCTTGATTACTCTTGAAAGCTGAAAGAAAAGAGGGCAAAGGCTGAACCTGGAAAAGATAACGCTGGCAGGAAAAGCACCTGGAAAAACATCCCCAGGAGAGGATCTACTCTTATTGAATGAACAGTGAGACACTCCATACTCCGGTCTCAAAATCAATAATGATCTTCATCACCATGATTGGTTCAAAATCACTGTAACTGCAACCGTTGAGAGCTTATTACGTACCAGGCTCTGTGTAGTATTTCACATAAGTAAATCATCTGATACTATCCCCATAACTCAAAGAAGTAAACTTTTCCACAATGTCTCCCAGCTATTAAGTGGAAGAGCAGAATACTCGAGTCTTTTTGACTCAATAACTCAGGATCTAACGCTTTTACAGTTCACTTCTCTCTCCATGTGCTTCAGAACGCAGAGGTCCACTGCAAGGTGGATACAACACAATTAAGGCAATTCACTGCTTGCCCTATGCCCAGTAACTCCACATACACAGAAGGGCCCTGCTCTGACTTCTTGTGTAACTACTCATGCACAGGAGGCACTGAAGAGTGAAGTTGTAATTCGGATTCAGATTGTAAAGTACTACTGGCCAACCATTCAGGCCACAGGGATGGACAGTGCTGTCGCCTTGTGATTGCGTGTGGCAAGGCAGGACAAAAGGAAATAAGGACGGGGAAACACCACGCTGGAAAGAAAATCAAGAATCAGGCAGGTGGATGCTGCCTGAGCTGAACATATAGGAGCAGGATCTGCAATGATGGTGACCTGGAGCTATCTGTGTCTTAATTCTTCTGAAGTAGGGTTCTGTATTTTAGTACACACAGCGAGTTTTGACAGTTATTCTAAAAGTAGAACAGCAATTTTTCAGATCTGTGTCTTTAAACACAGGCTTTCAAAGGAATCGGGTTTTAAAAAATTAGAACAAAAAAGAAATTCTTTTCCTGAGATCGTCTATGGTTCCATGGTGGAGGCTGGGTACCCGCTACAGCGCTCTTTGCTACAGCGTTTTTCCTACACAGCGTTTTCCACAACGGCTATTATGTAATATGTAATTATCTCTGTAGTGTTTGTCACCCAGGCTAAACCGTAGCACCTTCGTAAGAACAAAGACCGCGTCTGCTCTTTTCTGCAGGATCTGGTGCAATGCCTAGTACCTAGCAGGCACTCCGTAAGAATTGTTAAATGAATGAATCGGGGCTTTCTAAATATACGCATCAGGCACTGTGTCATTTAGCTGGCCAAAGCACCCGAATTCCCACAGGGCTGCTCTAAGCACAAACAAAGCTTAGGTGTGCACAGGGCAGGTAATGATCAACCGCTGTCAGCGGGGTCGATTCCAACATGTATCCCAATACGCACCAGAAGGAATAAATGACGTAAAAGCACTTTGTAAACATGGAAGCTCAAAGGAGAGTTGGCAGTTACGATCCCTGTTACTATCACGGTTATTCCGCGGATCACGCACCCCGGAGGGAGGCAGGGAGGCAGGGACGCCGCGAAAGGAGCGGGCGGCGCGGGAACGGGTCTCAGGGCGCAGCGCGGCGGGGCGCAGCAAAGGGCGGCGGGCCGAGCGGCCGGACCGTACCTTTTGATGCAGAGCCTGGAGGGCAGGTAGGCCCGGTAGCCGTCGGTGATGTACGGGTTGTCCTTGAGGGACACGGGGATCTGCTCGTAGGTGTAGAGGCGGATGCCGCGGGGCACCAGCACCGGCCAGTACTGATAGCCGCCCAGCTCGATGTAGTGCGCGCTCTTCAGCAGCTTCTGATGCATCCTTCCCGGCACCCGCCGCTCCCGC